GTGATAGAGGGTGGCGCCCCAACCCCGTGATGGGCCCTGGTCTGTGTGTGACAGGGTACGGAGCACCAACTCCCCTGATGGGCCCTGCTCTGTGCATGACGGCGGGTAACTCCCCAACCTCCCCATTGACCCTGCCTTGTGTGTGACAGGGGGCGGCGCCCCAACTCCCCAATCGGCCCTGCTCTGAGTCTGACCATGGGCTGCACCTAGGGATTAGGCCTGCCCTCTGCCACCTGGGAGCAGGCCTAAGCCAGCAGGTTGTTATCTCCCGAGGGGTCCCAGACTGCGAAAGGGCACAGGCCGGGCTGAGGATCCCCCTTCTCCCCCCTGAGTGCACAAATTTTTGTACACCGGGCCTCTAGTCCCATATAATAAAGATGTAATATGCAAATTGATGGCTGTGCCCACAGTGTAGGCGGGGTTCCCATAATGAGCCGTAACGAGCAATCAGCACGGACCTGAAGCTGCATGGTGCCAGGCCAGGGTGGGGAACCTCAGGCCGCACCCCCACTCTGGCACCGAGCCAGGGGTCCTGAGGTCATGTCCTAGGCCCAGCAGGGCTTTTCGGGGGATTACTAAATGTTATCCTGACGCTGGGCCAGGGACCTCAGGCCATGCTCCCCAGTGCCAGGCTGCTGGGGGACCTGAGGCTGCGCCCCTCCCCCCATCCGGCACTGGGCCAAGGCACCTGAGGCTGCGTCCCCCCACCCAGCAGGCTTGATGAGGGTGGGGCCGGCCCGTTCTGGATATCGCCCAATGGGGCCAGCCGGGTCTGGGTTTTGCACGATTTTGAGATGCACGCGGGTGGGCGGGGACTTGACTCTGGGTCCTGTGGCGTGCCCCAGACTCTGACAGGAGGGAGATTTTTATAGACATTTTACTAATTTTCTTTCATCTCTGACACTTCTATTATAAAGGACAAATAGCAATATTAAAATATTTTCTCTAATTCCCTTTTAATGTGCATCAATTTTGTGTATCGGCCCACTAGTTCATGTGATAAAAAAATCACTAATTGCATTTGGTTTTTCTATCTTCCCTCCTTTGTTACTAAACTCAAGGTATTTGACACTTGGGATGCTCTATTCAAGAATGAGATGTTTTTGTTGCGAGGTTCTTTGATTTATTTGCAGCAAGTAGTGGAGAATGGGATTCATATTCAAAGCTCTGCGTCTTGGAAGGAAGGTTCAGTCATTGCTTATATACACTATTTGATCAATTACATGTTAATTTCTTGTTTGCATTTGGCTACTGTCATCCAGTTGTGTTCCCCTCAAGCTCATCTTGTTTACAACTGGTTTACAAAATACTGTGCTACATTCTAACATTTAGTAAGGATAACATTTAGTAAGAACATTTAGAACTACCTAGACCTTGAGACCCTTGTCCTATTTTAACAATTCCCTTGAGATTTTTCACTCCTCATTCTTGCAGGAATAGGCATGAAGGTCATTCTTGTGTAACTACTTC